GTGCTTTTCAGACGTTTGTTCTTCTGCCTCCTGTGTCCCCTGCTTTGACCTGGCTAATTCTGATGTATTCATTTCTGAGGCTTATTCCCATGGTTCCAAGTCTCTTCGATTTTGCTCCTACACTGTCCCATGTGTAGCTCTAGCATGAGGTCTGTTATGCATTTAAATGACCTTTGTTTCACGTTCTTTTACTACATTATGAGGTCCTAGAAGACGAAGACTATTTTTTTAATCATATTTGTAACCTTAGCACTGCTGAGGGTTTGATGCTTAGTCCACTTTTAGTCCTGTCTCAATGGTGACACAGTTGTCCATCCTTGTTCCCAAACTAGAAATGTGAATGATTTCCTAGTTTCCTCTCTTTATCACATGTAACCGTTTCCAAGTCCTTCAGTTTTGCTTTTACTTGGGTATATATGTTTGCATTCTTTTGTTCACTTGTTTGTTCATTCAACAAATTTCCTTCAGTGCTACTGTATGCAAGGCTGTGAACTAACTATACTGTGTGCCAAACATTGCATTGAATTTGTAGAATGTATAGATTAATTTTATGAGAAGGAACACAGTTACAAAATTAAGGAACAACAACAGTTTATCTAGAAGTATTCCTCATTTTTTTTAAGCTTATTTTTTTAAAGCTTTTTGTTAAACTTATTAACTGTGTTTTAACAGTTCTTAGTATGAATGAGATTTTTAAAATTCTGTTAGTTTCTAACTTGTCATTGCTCATGTATCAGAAACTGATTAAATGATCTTTTTATCTGGCCAACTTATTAAACTTCTAAGTAGTTTTCATGGACTTAGATTTTCAAATATTCATTATGTCAGTGACAGATATCAGGGTTGTTTTCCTACTGGGTATTTATGCGTTAACTCATTTTTCGTGTCTCAGTACATTTCATATCTTAGTATTGCACATTTGTTGAATAAAAGCCATGATACTTGGCATGCTGGGATTTTTCTTTTTTCGGCTGGGCTGTGTGGCTCGCGGGATCTTACTTCCCTGACCAGGGATTGAACCCAGGCCCTGGCAGTGAAAGCGCCAAGTCCTAACCACTGGACTGCCAGGGAACTCCCCCTGGAATTATTCTTGACTTTAATGAAAATGCTTCTATCAGTGTCTTGCTGAGTATGATGTTTATTTTGAATAATAATTTAAAAAATCAAATTAAGGAGGCATCACCTGTTCCTCACTTGCTAAGAGATTTATCCTGAATCCATGTTGAATTTTATCAGTAGCTTTGTTGGTGTCTGTGGAGATGATCAAGTTAATCTGTTAATGTAAAGAATTACAGTAAGAGATTTCCAGAAGACAGACTCCCTTAATATTTCCACTTTTTCCTGATTTATTTAATGCATTGCTAATGTTTTATTTAGTATATTTTCATTTATATTTATAAGTGACATTGGTTTGTACTTTTCTTTCATTTAATTCTCTGCTTTTGTTTCAGAATTATGCTAGCCTTATAAACTTTGTTAAGGCATTTCAGTTTTTTTTAATTGGGAAAACTGTTTAAATTTGAATTGTTTAAACAACAGGAATTAGTTATTTCTTAAAGCCGTAGTACAGTGTGTCTCTAACATTGTTTAGAAAGTTGCTGTTTCTTGGTGTCTTTATTTCCCCAAGTCTAGTGAAGTATCAGGAGCAAAGAACTTTAACACTTGTTGAATTTTCTAGATAAGGTCCTGGGAAATGATTTACTATATAGAATTACTTGTTATACTAACAAGGTTGGTTTTAGTCAGAGAAGCACTGTTATCCAGCTAAGTCATGGAAGAGACTTAGAATTGTCTAAGTCTATGGAATTAGACAATTAGAATTGTCTAATTGTCTATGGAATTAGTCTGGAAGAGAAACACATGGAAATCTGTCTTCATGGATAGATTTTCTTCATAGAAAAATGCTGTTTGGTGATAGTCTAGATTCAAAGCTAACATTTATAGGAAAACGGTCTAATTTGTATCACTGAGTACAATATTTACATAATTACCATGTTTAAAAAGACCAAAGGTAACCATTTTATAAATGTATTCAGGTCTCGGGTTAGTTTTACTATTTTCTTTCATTTTTATTTTTCTATTTTTGTCTGTGTTGGGTCTTCGTTGCTGCACGCAGGCTTTCTCTAGTTGCGGCGAGCGGGGGCTACTCTTCTTTGCGGTGCACGGGCTTCTCATTGTGGTGGCTTCTCTTGTTGCGGAGCACGGGCTTTAGGCCTACGGGCTTCAGTAGTTGTGGCTCGTGGGCTCAGTAGTTGTGGCTCGCAGGCTCTAGAGCGCAGGCTCAGTAGTTGTGGTGCACGGGCTTAGTTGCTCCGCAGCATGTGGGATCTTCCCGGACCAGGGCTCAAACCTGTGTCCCCTGCATTGGCAGGCAGATTCTTAACCACTGCGCCACCAGGGAAGTCCCTACTGTTTTCTTTTGTAAAGCTTATTCTGTAATTTAGATTCATTATAATTAATTTATAGGCAAATAATATTTTAGCAGTTAAAGTACTTTAATTTCAATAAAACTGATTCAGTGTATCCATCCACATTTCCCTTCTATAAAATTTTTATTAGCATATAGTTAATTTACAGCGTTGTGTTAGTTTCTGCTGTACAGCAAAGTGAATCAGTTACACGTATACATATATCCACTCTTTAATTTTAGATTCTTTTCCCATATAGGTCATTACAGAGTATTAAGTAGAGTTCCCTATGCTATGCAGTAGGTTCTTATTAGTTATCTATTTTATATCTAGTAGTGTGTATATGTCAATCCCAGTCTCTCAATTTATCCCTCCGTCCCCCTTCCCCCTTGGTAACCAAAAGTTTGCTTTCTGCATCTTTGACTCCATTTCTGTTTTGTAAATAAGTTTGTTTGTACCATTTTTTTAGATTCCACCTATAAGCAATATCATATGATATTTGTCTTTCTCTGACTTACTTCACTCAGTATGGCAATCTCTAGGTCCATCCATGTCACTGCAGGTGGCATTACTTCATTCTTTTTCATGGCCGAGTGATATTCCATTGTGTATATGTACCACATCTTCTTTATCCATTCCTCTGCTGAATTTAGGTTGTTTCCATGTCCTGGCTATTGTGAATAGTGCTGCTATGAACATAGAGGTGCATGTATCTTTTTGAATTATAGTTTTGTCTGGGTATATGCGCAGGAATGGGATTGCTGGATCATATGGTAGTTCTATTTGTAGTTTTTTAAGGAACCTCCACACTGTTCTCCATAGTGGCTGCACCAGTTTCCATTCCCACCCACAGTGCAGGAGGGCTCCCTTTTCTCCACACCCTCTCCAGCAGTTATTGTTTGTAGATTTTTTGGTGATGGCCCACATTTCCCTTTTTTAATTCAGTGTTTTAATTCAGTGTTCATAAAACTATGGGTATCTTATAGAAGTAATTGAACATCTGAATAATTCTAGGACTAATATGGCAAAGGTTCTCAACCAGGGGCAGTTTGTCCCCATGAGACATTTGGCAGTGTCTGGAGACTCTAATTGTCACAGTGAGGGGAAGCCACTGTCATCTGGTGGGTGGCAGCTGGAGATGCTAGTGAACATTCTACAATGCCCAGGATAGCCTCCCACAAAAAGAATGATCTCTTCCCAAATGTTAGTGGTGCTGAGGTTGAGAAACCCTCTTGTAAAAGGAAAGATGTATACACAAATACAAACACACAGTATTAAAAAGGCGTTCTCAGACGTGCACTTTTTCTTTCAGCAATTATAATTCTAACTTAATACAGTTTACAATGTCCTTATGCAAAGTGTATGAAGAGTATTCTGCTCTTGACTGACATCTAGTGAGACATTTAAAAATAAAAAGTAAAACTGAAGGTTGAGACTGAATAAGCGTGTACATCAGAGTTACTACTAATTGTTTTTCCAGGCTTAGGAAGTTCACAAATAAGTAGACTAGGAAGAGAGGAAAGATTTGTTTATGGCTACTGAGAAATTACAGCTGAGAAGTAGTGTGTGGTAAATTCTTACCTGAAGTATTGTATCTCCTTTGTCTTTTACTTATATTCTTGATTTAATATTAGAGCTTAGGATATGAAATCTTTCTTTTGGTAGTTTTCTGAATAAATGCTGAGTTACCTATATGTAAGACTTTTTATATTTTGAAAATTGCCTAAAATCATAGAATTTTAGAGCCAATGGGGACTAGGTGATTTAATCCAGTTTCTTCACTTACAGAGATTAAAAAGTTCAGTTTCAGAGATATGAAGTGATCTTTTTTGTTGTCTTACAACTTGTTAGGCCAGATCTTGAACTGGAACCCATAGCTCCTGACTTCTAGTCGAGTATTCTTTCAGGGTGAGGGGAAGTAATTAAGCACGCTTTAAAAAAAAAAAAAATTATTTATTTATTTTTGGCTGAGTTGGGTCTTCGTTGCTGCGCACAGGCTTTCTCTAGTTGTGGCGAGCGGGGGCTACTCTTCGTTGCGGTGCACGGGCTTCTCATTGCGGTAGCTTCTCTTGTTGCAGAGTACAGGCTCTAGGTGCACGGTCTTCAGTAGTTGTGGCATGCAGGCTCAGTAGTTGTGGCTCGCGGGCTCTAGAGTGCAGGCTCAGTAGTTGTGGCTCACGGGCTCAGTAGTTGTGGCTTGCGGGTTCAGTAGCTGTGGCTCGCAGGCTCAGTAGTTGTGGCTCGCGGGCTCTAGGGCACAGGCTCAGTAGTTGTGGCGCACGGACTTAGTTGCTCTGCGGCATGTGAGCTCTTCCTGGACTAGGGCTTGAACCCGTGTCCCCTGCATTGACAGGCAGATTCTCAACCACTGCCCCACCAGGGAAGCCCAGGCACACTTTGGATTCTCTTTAAAGCTTATGTTTTTTTTTTCAAACTATGAATATTAAAACTGTTAAATTCTTATTTCCTTATAAAGAATATATACACCTGTATATATGTTTTAAAATGAATTAGTATTTATGTTTATGAATCTCATGTTTAATTTATAAGCGTTATGCCAGTTTAAACATGGATATTTCACATTTTTCACAGGCGACAACACCTCCACATCAAGGGCGGCCAGATTCTCCTGTCTACGCTAACCTGCAAGAACTGAAAATATCCCAGTCGGCTCTCCCCCCGATCCCTGGAAGCCCAGCAATTCAGATTAATGGAGAATGGGAAACTCATAAAGATAGTTCAGGGCGTTGTTATTACTATAACAGAGGAACACAGGAAAGAACTTGGAAACCCCCTCGTTGGACTCGAGATACAAACATAAGCAAAGGAGATTCCCAGAGTCCAGGAGATCAAGAGGTATGAGGAGTTAGGGGGTCAACCAGTGAGTTACCGAGCTTTTTCTCTTTTTGTTCCTCAAAGAAGTGAATAGGTTTGCTTCTAACCCTTGACATCTCTAAGATACTAAATCTTTTTTCCACGTTTTATTATATTACTGCTTGTCGCTTCCTAATCTCTAACTAGTGGACAGCGTCTAGCCTTGTAGCATGCTTACTAGTTCCAGAATTAACTGGGTTAATGTTGCCTAGTGGCGGTAGTTTCCCTCATGCGCTAGAAGATACTAATTCAATCGTTGTTGCCCAAGGAGTGACATCTTTTAGAAAAAGGAGAGAAAATATGTGATATGATTTAGCCAAACAAATAAAAACAAAGTTATTTAATTGACACTTTTCTTTATGGTTTGGTGGGGCTAGCAAGGTACTTGTCAGTTTTTGTTAGAGATACAAGATCACTTTTTATTTCTATGTAGGGGAAATTAGTATAATTCCTTTGCTGCGAACAAAGGACCACCCTCTAAGTCTGACAATTCACTCTATATTGTTATTTTCTCTAACACGTGTCCGTACTGTCTCCCCACCTGCCTTGGTTTCACTTCCCTCCCACCTCTCAGAGGGTGGTGCGGTGAATTGGCCAGTGGTGTTTTGAGAAACACTCATCTCCGAGGCCTGGAGAGAGTCCTTGGGACTGTTCAGGTGTGCAGGAGAAGCTTGGGTAGCGTGGATAGAATGGAGTTAAATCCTGCTGTTTGGTAGACGGCGGTCCCCGCACCTGCACAGGACACCTGCTCTTAGAGAGAGCAGCTGGCTTGTACAGTAAGAACAGAACTCCAGTTATAGGTAGGAGCTGGAGAAATCAGGTAACACATCCTGTATCTAGCAGAATCTGGAAGCTTTTTATAGTTAACGACCCCTCGTCTTATCCTGTTTTTCAGTTGGTTATTTATAGCTTTGCTTTGGTGGTAACTTGTACTTTTAGTATTCAGGAATGAGGAGGGAGGATAGTGAGAAATTGTTCATGTGTTACTATAATAGGAAAATGTTAGGAAAGTGATTTGAATTTGTGTGTCCAGAAAGATTTGAAAATAAGTTGTCCTGTGTATCAATAATAAAGTAAAATCATATAATTTGGAAGAATTGGGGTAAGGGCTAAATTGTAGAATAATTTAAAGAAATTTGAAGTATACATGGGAACTTTAACAGCCCTTCTTAGCTTTCTATTTCAGTGACTAGATGAGAGTGATTAGTGTTTCAGAGTCTGAGCTCACACCACTCACTCTCTGCAGGTATTGTGTAAAATAGGTATTTCCAGAGTGGCTGGAGCATATCTTCCAGTAACTTCTTGAGAAAGGTTGTGCATGGGAGTTAACATTGAGACTTTGTGTGTGAAAAGGTCTGTATTCTGCCCTCCTATTTAATTGATAGTTGGCCTGAGTGAAGAATTCTAGGTTGGAAATCATTTCTTCTCACAGTTGCAAGGCATTTTGAACTTGACTTTATGGTGATCTCGGTCAGCTGCGTGTGGGGTGTCTCCAGTGTTGGAACCATTCGGTCTTCCCTTTCAGACTGACCCGTCTCTGCAGAAGTCTTAACGCCTGGGCAGTAAGGGCCGCCTGGGTCTTGGTACCCGGCGTTTAGTTTGCACATAGTTCCTTAGTCTCCCCTCTTTCTGTTTGGTACCTGCGTCCCAGTCGTGCCTGTTGTCTTCCAACTCAGAATCCCTCTTGATAGGGAGTAAAACCCTACACTTGGGCTGGAATAAGGGAGGGGTGCACACCTAGTGGCCAGGCATGAGGAAGGGGAGTCTGGCGATTTCAGTCCTCAGTTCAGTACCCTCGGTTCCAGGAGGACCTAATACTGTCACTTCCTGGGCCGTTTGAAGATTTCGCGCTGCAGACCTGTTGCATTTCATCTTCCCTCCCCGGCACCCATCCCCACCACCAGTTTAGATTATGCTTTCTTTGCGGATAATTTAGGTGTTTGTTCATCTGCTTCTCAGCCTCCAGAGTTTTGTGGCTGTTGTGTCTCCTTGTGTTCTCCCTGTTCTTGGCGGTTCAGGTCTTTTTAGGCTTGTTTCGATACTTTTATTTCAGTAGGGTTAGAGAGGGAGCAGATGCTCACCCTTTCGTCCTAACCCAGAAGTTTGTTATTTCAGTGGTTGCCCTAGCACAGTGGTCCTCACGTGGGGCAGTGTTGTCTCCGGGGGGACCTAGGCAATGTCTGGGGGTATTTTGGGTTGTCACAACTCAACGAGGGCTACTCTCCTCGTGGGTAGAGGCCGGAGAAGCTGTTGAGCACCCTGTGATTCACAAGACAGCTCCCACCGCGAGGAACAATCTGGCCCTAACTGTCCACGGTGCTGCTGATGAGAAACGCCTCCTCAGGAGTTGTAACTGGCGCACTTATCAAAGTCTGCGGTTAATCAGCTCTTCTTGCTCCTTTTGAAACCATACAGGAACTATACGTGCAGCGGTGCTATTGTTGTTTATTTTATTTCTATTTTTTAGCTCCCTTACTACTTGTTCTACATGATGGCTCAAAATATATCCTCATACGTACCACTTTCTTTTTTCACATTTCTTAGGCAAATTAGATTACCTTGGATAACTTTATACTGTCCTAAGTACCTACTTTTAAATTTCCTTAGTGAGCCTCTGTTAGTGATAGAATCTTAGTTCTCATTTGCCTGGAAATTTGTTTTTCATCCTTACTTTTGAAGAGTATCTTTACCTGGTGCACAGTTCTAAGCTGATGGCTTTTTATTTTTCCCTTGTTCGTTGAAGACTTTATTCTCATGTTTTCTGGCTCCCACTGTTGATGTGGAAGATTCAACTTGTAGATCCCTTCCTGTGGGTGGCTTTGAGGATCTCGTGTCTGTAGTTTCACTATGATGTGATTTGGTGAAGTTATCTTTTTTATTTCCTTCCAGGGCTTTGTTGGGAATCCCAAATTTGAGGCGTTCCATCTTTGATTAGTTCTGGAAAAACTCGTAGGCATTGTCTTTATACAGCTCCTGTCCCGTTTTCTCTTTCCTCTTGTTTTGGGACTTTGATTAGACGAACAGTTAATCTGCTCGCTCCGTTTATCATGTCTCTTGATTTCCCGTATACTTTAACATTTTATTGCTGTGTCTCTCTCTGCTTGTTCCCAGTCATTTCCAAGCCAAGCTCCTGTTTGCTCTTTTTCTCTTCATCATGTATGTTTGTTTGATATTAAACCAACCCTTGAATTTAAAAAATGTGTTATTTTAAATTTGTTTGGGGAGCTTCCCTATCTTAATTACTTTGAGAAGTTTGAAACATACAAAAAAAGTAGAAAGAATAGTATAGTGAGCTGCCAGGTACCCATCATCTGGATTTACAAGTTGTTAACACTTTACCACATTTGCCTTGTTACTTTCTCCCTCCTTTTACCCTTCTAACTCTGCAGTAATTTTTTTCTCTGAATCATTTGGACCAGACAACATAATGTTTTATTCTCTAAGTATAAGAACTGTTTCCAGCAAAATCTTTTTTTTTGTGTGTGAAAAATACTTTATCATACCCAAGAAATTTAATATCAGTATATTATTTAATACAAAGGTAATGTTCGTGTTTCTCACTTGTCAACTCATATCCTTTATAGTTTTTTTCCTGCAGTGAAGGATCCAGTGAAGGATCATATATTGCATTGATTTGTCATATCTTTCTTAAGTCTTATTTTCTACTTTATTTTTGCTAATTTCAGTATATAGTCTTTAAGAGTCTGAATATGCTGTTCTTCTGCTGACTCTCACTCATGGTGTTTGTTTTACATCGTATGTGTGTGTGTGTTTTTTTTTTTTTTTGTGGTATGCGGGCCCCTCACTGTTGTGGCCTCTCCCATTGCGGAGCACGGGCTCCGGACGTGCAGGCTCAGCGGCCATGGCTCACGGGCCCAGCGGCTCCACGGCATGTGGGATCTTGCCGGACCGGGGCACGAACCCGTGTCCCCTGCTTCGGCAGGTGGACTTTTAACCACTGCGCCACCAGGGAAGCCCTGTGTGTGTGTTTTAATGTGAGGTTATAGTTGTTGGAAATTCATATATAGCAAGTTTAATGCTAGGGTTGAAAGTTTGTTCCTTCAGAGAGGATTTGCTTTTGTTTCTGCCAGGTGCCTGGGGAAACTAGTATGCTGTGAACATTTGAAACTAAATTTTCAGTTTACGTTTTCACAGGCCACCTAGGTAGTAGTAATTTTGGATTGCGTGAAGAGTGGCTTGTTGCGTTCTTCCCCAGTTTCCCCTGATTAGTCCTGTGATTTTCCTAGCATGGAATAAAGGGCCAAGATTTGTTTCTGATTCACCCTGTAAACTGCAGGTATAATTCTTTGGGGTCCCCTTTCTGTCTTGTGGGACTCACTGCCGTAGGTTGTTCCGAGTCCTGTTCCCCAGCACTTCTGCATGGCCTTGAAAGCTAATGTTCTAGTTCAGGATTTGGCAAATGCCATCAAGGAGAAAGCTGCCTTTTTATTGTACTAACCTTTCTGGATTCTTCTTCTTTTTTTAAAATAAATTTATATATTTATTTATTTGGCTACGTTGGGTCTTCGTTGCTGCACGCAGGCTTTTCTCTAGTTGCGGCGAGCGGGGGTTACTCTTCGTTGTGGTGCGCGGGCTTCTCACTGCGGTGGCTTCTCTTGTTGCGGAGCATGGGTTCTAGGCACGCGGGCTTCAGTAGTTGTGGCTCGCGGGCTCTAGAGCGCAGGCTCAGTAGTTGTGGCACATGGGCTCAGTTGTTCTGTGGCATGTGGGATCTTCCTGGACCAGGGATCGAACCCATGTCCCCAGCATTGGCAGGCGGATTCTTAACCACTGCACCACCAGGGAAGCCCTCCTTCTTTTTTTTTTTTTGATGGTTGAATAATATTTTCCTGTACAGATTGCCTTCTTTTACTCTGTTTCTAAAAGATTTTACTGTACCTCTCCTATGTGAGCTTACATTTTAAGTGGTCTCAATTAAATTAAAATAAATCCTGATTTTTGAGTTAGGTTTTTCATTTTTTAAAAACGTTACTGTTACAAAACATATATAGCTCACTCTACGTAAGACTTCTGTTAAGTTGTCTATGTCAGTTTTTGTGAACATATTGCTAACATTAGGATGTTTACGTATGTTACTTCTACAGCATTGAGAATCTACACATCTTAGTGTTTCAGACCAAATTATGGTAGAAAATCTAGTCTGATTGAGTAGATTTAATTGTAGAAGATATTTCACCTGAACGTGACCCTGGAAGGGTCATTTGCACATTAGAGTTAGCCTAGTAAATATTACATACTGAATTTCTTAATCTTTCTGTATTGTGTTTGTATTTTCTCAGTATTATTTTTTCTTCTTTCAAAGTGTAGTTTTGAATAGTTTTAAGAAGCATTTGGTTGAGTGAGTTAGGAAAACTTGACAATAAATTAGAACATAAAATATAGTGTTACAAAACTAGTGTCTTTTCTCTCCCCATCTCCATCCCACACGCTTTAAGAAAATAGTTGAACATATATTGAGCACTTTTTGCGGGGCATTTGGCTAGGAACTTGCAATAAATGGGTGAGAAGTTTCAAGAATCTCAGTCTACAGAAGTGCCCTCACTTCCTGCTTTGCTCACACATGGATGTGTGCACACACACACACGCACCCCTGTCATTTCTTAACCTGATTTCAGTTCAAAAGCAGCATTAAATAGAAGGTAGCATTTGATCTCTCAGTCTGAAAACATTGTTCTCAATTTCATTATAGTAAATTTTTCTAGGCTTGCATTAATGCGATAAAATAACTTACTAATTTCACCTTACCACTTACAGTATACCATTAAAAAGACTAAACAATTTGTTTTGAAAACTAAATATTTAAATATATTCAAGATATATTAGTATGTGTAGCCAAATAAAGTCAATTGCTTAGATTTTCAACTGCTGCACACACACACACATATATGTATGTTCAAAGAAGAAAAATCCTTATGTTTCTGACTATTTATAGCTTCTTTCATCAGAAGAAAACTACCACAGCGTTTGTTACAGCCAGTCAGATAGTCAGTGTGGTTCTCCTCCAAGGGGTTGGTCAGAAGAGCTGGATGCACGTGGGCACACCTTGTATACCAGTGACTGTACTAATGAAAAGGTACTTTCTTTTTCTCTCATCTAGTTTTCTTGGCACATTCCTCTCATAAAATCATTATGTACTGAAGCTTTTTTAGTATTTTTAAAACTCATGAAAATATTTTCTTGTAGTTCTGTAATCATGCCAACTGACAATATGAAAACTCAGTGTAACTACTTATTCATGGTTTTAAACTGCTTCCAGTTACAGTAATGTTTGTGGTGTCAACCTGTTTAAGACAGACCCTTTGAAGAGAAGACCCGTTGAGTGTCAATCTGCTTACACTTCTTCAGTAAACATATTTCTTTGTGTTTTTCTTGGGGAATAGTTTTTTGGGAATAGTTTTTTCAACATGCTGTTATGACATACCACCTCACTTCCTACACTCCTTTTTCTTTTATAACCAAGTTACATAAAACAAAAACCATGAATCTAGTATTTTATGATTCATCAACCAGTTTGAGAATGCATTTTGAAATTTTATGTGTTTATCATCAGAGAAGGTAATGGGTTGTTGTGCTAGTTTAAAGAATAAGACCCTTGGGAATAAATGGAGGTATGCTTTTTTAAAAAAATCAATTAATTAATTAATTAATTTTGGCTACATTGGGTCTTCGTTGCTGTGTGCGGGCTTTCTCTAGTAGTGGCAAGCGGGGACTACTCCGTGTTGCGGTGCGCAGGCTTCTCATTGCGGTGGCTTCTCTCGTTGCGGAGCCTGAGCTCTAGGCGTGCGGGCTTCAGTAGTTGTGACACATGGGCTCAGTAGTTGTGGCACGTGGGCTCTAGAGCCCAGACTCAGTAAGTTGTGGTGTGCAGGCTTAGTTGCTCCACAGCATGTGGGATCTTCCTGGACCAGGGCTTGAACCTGTGTCCCCTGCATCGGCAGGCGGACTCCTAACCACTGCACCACCAGTGAAGTCCCTAGTTTACTTATTTTTACCAAACTTAAAATGCAAGTCTGTTAGTATAGGTTTTGTTATATTTCTTTTGCAATGGTCTTGAGCAAGTAGAATAAAATTCATGAGAATGTCATCTAATATCTCTGGTTGTATAGGCTAAACTCAATTTTATGTACATTTAAAATATAACACCTGTTTTGTCTTTATAGTGGCTCAAGCATGTTGACGATCAAGGTAGACAATATTACTACAGTGCAGATGGATCTCGGTCAGAATGGGAGTTGCCAAAGGTAATAAACATTAACACTGGATTTCTGTTTAGAAATAGTAGATAAAATAATATCTGAAAATGGTTACAGCAGATTCACTTTTAAATTTTTATTCAACTTCTAAAAAGCAGCAAGACTAGTTTTTTCAGAATTCATCGAGAATCCTTTGGCTAAATTTTTCTAAGATGTGCATTATCTTATAGCTATATAATACTGATAATCCCTATTTAAAAATTCTTTTGGTTTAACTTGAAATCAGTTTTTCATTGTTCCTGGATACAGTGTCCCCTTCAGTGCCAATAATGCCAGTAGTTTCCTTGAATATATTGCGTCTTCTACATGAAGTTGGTCTTATATTTTTTTTTAAAGAAAGAAAAGCAACTCAGTATTCAAGTTTACTCTTGTATGTAGATGTGTGTTGTAATTGAGTCCGTCATTAGCAGCCTGTGGCAGTGAGATCTAGGGTCTCATTGGCTCTCTCTCTTTAGATAAGTGTACCAGGGCTGAGTTTATCTGAAGCAGTAGGTTTCATAGTGGTCATATAGTTATCACTACTAGTATTCAGATAATTTTAAGTGAAATCTGAGCAAACATTTAAACTTTAATTGGTACATTATTTTAATGTTTTAGAAGGCAAGTGTAAGTAGCAGACATATCTGTAGTGTCAATTACCAGATAGACTTTAGTTTTCTTTGTCCCGGAGTAAGTCAGTTTAAAGAAAAAATATTAGTATAAAGATACATAGATATAGAAAAAAAATCATTGAAATATAAAGTGCAGTGGATATTGTAAACTATAGACAGAGGGATAGGAAGGTAACGAATATTAAAGCATAGTTAGGAGTAATGGAAGATGGGTGGGAAGTTTCCTACATTCATATATCAGGAATTCTAGAAGAAGATGGAGGAAATGGTAGAGAAATAGTATTGGAAAATATAATTTCTGGGAATTTTCTAAAACTAAAGGAAGGCATGCACTTTTTATTTTCTATCATTTTTTTTTTTTTTTGCGGTACGCGGGCCCCTCACTGCTGTGGCCTCTCTCGTTGCGGAGCACAGGCTCCGGACGCGCAGACCCAGCGGCCATGGCTCACGGGCCCAGCCGCTCTGCAGCATGTGGGATCCTCCCAGACTGGGGCACAAACCTGTGCCCCCTGCATTGGCAGGTGGACTCTCAACCACTGTGCCATCAGGGAAGCCCCAGGCATGCATTTTTAACTGGAAAATATGCCCTCAATACAGACCAGGAGAGAGAAAAATAAATACACGTGTTGACAGATTTTACTGGATCTATGGAAGCTCAGCAGAGGAGACAATCTTAAAAGCCATCAAAGGGTAGACAACCAGATTACCTGTGGTGTCAGACTGCAGCATTGGACCCATTCCTTACCCACTCCTGTATCAGTGCTGTCTGCTGTGTACCTTTGTAGTGGCCTCCCGCTGTGGATGGGGCGTATTGTCCTGCTGTTACCATCATGACTGAATCCAGTCTAGTCATGTGACTTGCTTCCATTGGTGGGACATGAGCAAATGTGTCACAAACATGGTATTGAAATGGGCTTGTGTGCCAGGGCTTGCTCTTCCACTTCTGCCACTGCCATGAGAGGCATGCACCAGGCTAGCCTCCTGGACCCAGAAGGAGTAAATGCATTTTAAGAAAATGAACAGAGCCTCAGAGATCTGTGGGAAAATACAGAAGATCTAACATTCATTTCATCAGAATTCCAGAAGAAGTGGAGAAAGCGTGTGAGGCTGAAAAATATATGCAGAAACAATGTTTGAAGACCCCCAAACGTGCAAAAGACAAATCAACAGGTTCAGGAAGCTGAATAAGTGCTAAACAGGGTGGACTCAGAGAGACCCACAGCCAGTGCACTGAACGCTAATGAATCCCCTAAACAGGGTGGACTCAGAGAGACCCACAGCCAGTGCACTGAACGCTAATGAATCCCCTAAACAGGGTGGACTCAGAGAGACCCACACCC